AAATAAATTACCTAAGCAATGATATTCATGACGCTCGATCTTGGTAACATGGACGAAGCTTGAATTTGGATCTTCAACTTGAATTGCAAGGCTTCACTCCATTATTCCGTCAACCTCCATTGGATATGATCGTGAATACTTGATTCCATCCAACTTCTAACTTGTTGTTTGCCTAGAATAAATATAAAAACACAAACACTAGACAAATAATATTAGTAGTAAATTATTTGTTAAACATTATCAAAATAAAAAGGCCAACAGGTTGTACAGTAACCCTCTCCATCAAGCTGTCCTAAGGAGATTAATTTTTTTAAGGCCAGGAATATGTCTCACTCCTTGCAGCTTCCATGTGGTCTGATTTGGCAATTTTAATCGGATATCTCCATTGTCAACAATCTTTAAGGTTTCATTATCTACAAGATGTATCTTTTCGAAATCACCGCTGACGTAGTTCTCCATGATTTCTCGGCATGGGGTGGAATGGAAGGATGCCCCTGAATCCATGATTTCTCGGCATGGGGTGGAATGGAAGGATGCCCCTGAATCAAGAATCCATGATTCAATCGGACTGTTGACGCTTAGAATCATAGCATCACTGCCCCTGAATCAAGAATCCATGATTCAATCGGACTGTTGACGCTTAGAATCATAGCATCACCTCCTTCTTCAGTCACGTTGGTAGACTTCTGTGCGCCAGTATTTTTCTTCGGTGTCCGGCACTCCCTCTTGAAATGACCATTCTTGCCATAATTGTAGCACTTGAAATCTTTCTTTCTCGATCTAGATTTGCTTCTTCTAGATTTTGATCTGTCGTGATTTAAACTTCTTTCTGAAGTTCTTCCCCTAGACTCCGTGTGTAAAGCTGAGGAGATTGAAGCTTCACCCGATTCTCTCCGTCGGATCTCTCAACTGAGAACTAGATCACGAACGTCATCGAACTTCAACTTGTTGTTTTCCGATGAGCTACTCACAACCGTGACTGTAGCATTCCAGCTTTCTGGTTGGTATAGGTTGTCTAAAAATCATAACAGATAGCTGATTTCCCGTCAAACACCAATGATGAAAATTACAATCTGACGACTTCTAGAAGATTATAATTTAAAGATTTTTACGTAGATCGATAAAGGTTACAATCTGACGATCTTTGTAACAACCAATGAAAGCTCTAGTTCAACAGCCTTCACAATCGATATCGGAAGTTACAATCTGAATACTCTCATATTTTCAAGGAGCTAAGATGAAGATTACAAGATGACGGTCTTTGTAACGCTTTAGCAAAAGAGACCACAAATTGATGGTCTCTTCACATCAAAACACAGAGGTCATCCTTGTGTTACAATATCAAAACACAGAGGTCATGCTCGCATTCCAGAGTTAAAACGCAAAGGCCATTAAGTCCAGACACAGAGTTCGTAGACTTAAAACGCAGAGTTCATGCAGAGCCCAACTCTGCGTCTCAGGTCTAAAACGCAGAGTTCATGCAGAGCCCAACTCTGCGTCTCAGGTCCAAAACACAGAGTTCATACAGAGCCCAACTCTGTGTCTTAGGTTCAAAATACGGAGTTCGTCTCTGCGTCCTAACTCTGCGTTTAAGATTTACAACGTAACGCGACCTGTGCGTTCAGCCATCAAAATAGGCCTAACTCTGCGTTTTAAGTCTAAAACGCAGAGTTCGGACCCTGAACGCTATTTTTCAGCGTTTGACTCATTCAAAGCACGAACTGAACGGTTTCAGAATCGTTTTCCCCACGATTTGGGGAGTAGTTTAAGAGGGCGGTTACACCCCTTAATCTCCTATAAATAGGAGTAAACTCAATTGAGTTCGGATCCCTCTCCTTGGCAGCAAAGAAGAGATCATTGGCTTGCTTTTTTGGGGGGAGGGGAATTGCTGGAGCTTTGGAGATCAAAAACAGGAGCTTTCTTCATCCTTGGCTTACAAACCGACTTTCGGTTCAAATCAACTCTTTTACAAGAGTTTCAAACTTATTCTGCAAGTTCTTCTAAACTCGTTTAGAGCTCTCAAACTTGCTTTGTAAGTTCTCCCCAACATCAAATCGTGAGGATGAGATACCGTTTCAGTGAATCAAGACGTTCGGATCGTCAATAGAGAGCAAATTCGATGCGAGCATTCGAATGAGGTACTCCATCGTCACCGTGAAGAACTCAGAATTAAACAAAGGGGAGAATTCAGATCAATTCTTCTCTTTTTTGTAATCGGAAAATCCAAATTGTAATCGAGATTGAGAGAATACAAATCAAATATATTTCTTTTAATTTTTCTTTTCACCATAAATTTTCCACCAAATAGTAGGGAAGACAAAAGGATTAACGCTCGAACTTCCTCATCAAACTTAATCTCAACTGAACTCAACTGGGTTATGACTATGTTGAGTTCAATAAGATGTTGAGCTGCCGATGCGTCTTCCGTCATTCGCAAATTGAACAGCCGCCTCATCAAGTGAACTTTGTTTGAGGCAGAGGACTTCTCATACATGCTGCAGAGAGCCGTCGACATAAGATCCGCCGTGGTCTTTTCCTTTGCTATGTTGAAAGCAACATTTTGGGATAACGTCAATCGGATAACTCCAATGGCTTGTCTGCCGAGGAGAGCCCACTCTTCATCCTTCATATCATTTGGCTTACTTCCTGAGAGAGGTTAATACAGCTTCTTCTGATACAGATAATCTTCGATCTGCATCTTCCAAAAGCCGAAGTTCGCACCATCGAACTTCTTAATTTTTATCTTCTTTCGTATGCAGCCATCGCTCCCACTCGAATCTGACTTCCTTTGGATAGTTTCTGATAATTTCTGCGAACCACCATGTATTAAGACACCTCTGCCAGTAAGTCGATACCGTCGATAAAATTTACTATTCATGATATTTACTATTCACATGAATAGTAATCTCACAAAAAATTTAACAGGTTTTACAACCGGAGCTCTGATACCAGTTGTTGGGAAAAACTATGCAAATTTTCTTATAACCAGATTTACGAGAAAGCAAATAAATGCACAATAAGAGGACACACAAGATTTACGTGGTTCGGCATAAAATTACCTACGTCCACGGGCTGCTGCAGATCTTTCACTAATGGAAGAAATATTACAAGCACTCTGAAAATTGCTCTCAATTTTCTCTCCTGAGTGCAGATCTTTCACTAATGGAAGAAATATTACAAGCACTCTGAAAATTGCTCTCAATTTTCTCTCCTGAGTACTCTCTCTCTTAGATTTTTCACTCATTTACAAGCACTCTGAAAATTGCTCTCAATTTTCTCTCCTGAGTACTCTCTCTCTTAGATTTTTCACTCATTGAGTTCTCTCACCCTCTTAGCCTCAATAATTTCTCACTGCCTTGAATGTATCTTAGCAGCTGAAGGATGATCAGTTAAGGGAAGAGGGGTGGGGGTTTTATAGCTTGAGTACTCCCCTTTTTTCTTCCTGCCATTTGACAAAGACATCGTCCTTTGCTTCCCTCTTTTAAAAAATACGGCTACTGAAAGTCCTCCTCCCCTTTTTGATCACCGAAGGTTCTCCTCCCCTTTTTGACTAACAGAGCATACATCGAGCCAACGAGTGCATAGGCCCAGAGCATGAGAAATGATATCAGAGTAGTTAGCAAGTCGGAAATATAGAGCTAAGTGCTATACAGGACTTAGTATTTCACCGCATGAGTGCAGTGGGATCCATCTCTAGAAGTCCATAGGAGCCACGTTTAGAGTCCACATTGCATGTTGGTGTGACACTGAGATTGACAAATTGTCATGCCACGATGAGGACGTCGCGTAATTATGACGGGGTGATTGTGATACCCCAAGATTTAGTCCCAATTTGGATATTAATTATGTGATTGAATGGTTTAAATGATGGGTTTTGAGAGCCAAGTGTAATATTGACTAGTTAATTTTGACAATGGATTGAGTCAAATCATGCGTTGTACTCCATGGGTCCCAGGGCTTACATCTCACCAGCGGATTCATGGACCTGGGGTGGATGAGGGTTTGGAAAAGAATTCAGAGCTGGTAAGCAGTGGTCTATGGAAGAAAAAAAAATCTTTTGCCAGCTCATTGGTAACTAAAGCAGATTGAGTTAGCAGCCTATAATTACCTAATCTAAAAATGATTGTCTTCAATGGCTAAGAATTTGATTCCAAGTTCAAATTTTGACAAAAATTTTTTCTTATTGTTGATAAGAAAAAGAATTGGAACAGAACTTTTTTAGGCATGTGGTCAATGCATAAGACATTATAGATTTATAATGGGAAGAAAGTTGTTACGATGAAATCTTTCAATGCCACCTGTATAATATTTGACAGCTATTGTACATTAATGACTTTGGAAGCCAATTTCCTATCTATCTAGGTGAATCATTAAATTATCCTTCTATGCAGGTTTCGGAGACTATAATATTCAATGGTGAAAATATTTTTCTCTTTTTAAAAGATCAGACTTGCCCTCTTCAAGATTTAACTAATGTTTGACAAACAATTAAGGCAGATGGAGAACTGCCAACCCTGGTGGAGGAACTATTGGATTTCTCTTTTTGTTACGAAAAGTGATAAGGTTATAACAACGGGGCAAGGAGGATCTGAGGTTGCCTATGCGAATTTGGACGCAAGCAATTAAGAAGGATATAATAATAATCAACTTATATTGATGCGGGGAGGATAAGAAGTAGAATTCTGATATCTGGTAAGGAAGACAATTACATTATTTACTAAATTGAACTTCTACTTTTCATCTCATTTTCATATGCTATAAGGATTGCCAGAGTCTCCTCAGGAACGAAGGTATTGATGGCGAGTCGTGGTCAATTTTGAACAATGCTACCCCTTTGGAGATCATAAGCTTTTCATTGTCGCCTTTCCGAGAGTCAGACTTTTTTTTTCATTGTTGCCCTCAAGAACTAATAACATTGACAAAGGATTAAGGCAGTCAGAGCGCTGGCAATCTTGACATCCAAATAGAATTCCATCTTATCTAGTCCCACGAAACTATCCTTATTATCTCTTTTTATTATTATAATAATTGTTATCAAATCTGAAATGTAATCTGGGAGAAGAATAAGAAGAATTAAAATCCTTGAGCCAATACTGTCGTTACATACTTATTAGTTTTACAGCAGGAACGAAAACGCAAGTCTTCACATCTCTCCGTTGGACAATATTTTGCCTTGAGTAAATATAGCAAGGATCACAACCAATTATATTTTCAAGTTTTCTTTTATGACATATTGTTGAATGACTTCTGCAAATGGTAGTCATGTCTTCAGGGTGAATGTGATGGGCAATCCATCCCGAGGCAGCGCAAAAGGCGAGAACTGAATTTCTCTTCCAGGACCTGATACTGTCCATCTGAAAGTGTTCACAACACATCATCAGAGACAAAAAAGGATAAAGAGTGCCATCCGTAAGTAGCGGAAGCAATTAACCGAAACAAAGTGAAACTGAAAGTGATGCAGTAGTTGGTTAGTGCCTGTGACCTGTATTTTGTTGTCAGGTGATGGAGGAGAACAAGCATCTCCAGCTTTGCTAGCTCATTCCCAGGGCATGAGTGGGCCCCACTCCCGAACGGCAGGAAAGTGTTAGGCTTTGGAGCAACCTGAAAGAAACGAAGGGGATCAAATCAATAGAACAGGTTTGTACAGATCAGGGGACGTTCGAAGCATTCACAATTCTTACATCAAATCTTGAAGGATCAAACTTGTCAGGGTCATGGAAGTATTCTTCACTGTGATGAATATTTCTAAACAATGGCAGGACCTTCCATGCGTTTGTGAATCCGCTCTTCGAGTGTCGAACGGTTCCGTTTGACCCGGATCCATTCGTTCGTCGACGGTTTGGAGGAACCGCCATTCTTCATTTGTTGAGGCTGTTTGCCTCTCCTATTCTTCAGATCCGCGTTGTAGTGGACCCCGTCCGTAGACTCCATCGCTTTGGCGATTTGCCGCGCAAGGCGTTGACGTTGCCTCTGGCGGGCTCTCTTTGAGAGAGTCACAACGCCCTCAACAGTAGAAGCGTTGACAAGAAGAAGGATCAAACTTGTCAGGGTCATGGAAGTATTCTTCACTGTGATGAATATTTCTAAACAATGGCAGGACCTTCCATCCTTTTGGTATCAGATAGCCTGACAAATGAAGAAGGCTAAGACAACATACATGAAGGCATGAAAACCATAGCTCTAACTGAACATTAGTGACGTCACCTTCATACACAACATCTTCCACTGCTTCTCTGAAGGTGAAAGATAGAACTGAAGCAACCCGCATCGCCTCCTTAATCACTCTTAAAGTTAGAGACATCCTTTTGGCATCCGACCAACTCAGGGATCTCTCCTCATTGTTTATATTTATCTTCTTGATGATTTCCTCGTGCTCTTCCTGCAATTCATTACCTTACTGAAAGGTACCCAAAATAGTTTGAGAAAAAGAAAAATAAGGGCAGAGTGATATCTTACAGTTACTGCTTGGAGGATGGTGTGGTTCTCGCCAAGGAACTTGACAATCCATGTTAGAACACTTGCGGTGGTGTCACGAGCAGCAAAGAGGACACCAATGATGTTGTCAGTGATTTGATCATCATCGAGATTGTTGGTTTGCATGAAAGATCGAAGTAAATCAGTGGCCTCTGCTTTCTTTCGCCTTCTTGATGTTAGGATCTTGGCGACTATCTGACCCAGTCGTGTTCTTGCCTTCATCGCGTCGTAGAAGAGGGTCCCCGGGATATTGATAGGCAAGGAGTTATAGCCCTTCTCCAAGGTATGATAGCATTGCTTCAGCTCTTGTACGTATGATATCTCTTCTTTGCCAAATATAGATAGCAGTGCCACATTGAAAGCATACTGCAAGATGCATGGAAATAGATAAAACATAGCGATGCACACTTCATGGTCGAAATAACCAATTATTAGCACCAATTATTGGCAAGAACTTAGACAACCTAAAAACATAGTGATATGGTTCGAGAAATCTTGTGTGGAGGTATCTCAGTACCAACTCGGACCAAAAACAATTAACCTTATAGTCTTGACCTATTATTTATTTGCTTATGTCTATTCTTTAACTTTCAACTTTCCTTCCCGTGTGGGACTAAACTAAGATTCGAGGAGATTCAGAAGACCTTACAGTCTTCATCTCGTGAAATGTATTGATCTCATGTCCCTCCCAAGACCTCAGGGCATCCAAAGCAACCTCCTCAATGTCAGACACTGAACCTCTAATAGCATCGGGCAACATTGCTCTCTGCACAGCCTTCCTCAGCCTGGCATGATACTCCCCTTGCTGAAAGAATATCGCTCGCTGTCCAAGCATCCTTTCTTTGCTCACCGGAAATGTTGGCTTGAATAGGTGTGCACCTGACACGAGCACGAACTTTGCTGCCTCTGCACTTGACGCCATAATACAGGGGCAGCCCAGTATGTGCGTTTTAAAAATGGAACCATACCTACAATACAAATTCATTTGACGTACGTAACACCAATATCGAATAGTAAAATCGGAGGAGCACTGGAACCAACCTTTTCTGTTTGAGTTTGAAGAAGGTGTGAGGGTTCTTGGAGTAGAGTTGGAAGGTTTCTCCGAAGTAGGGCAAGCCCATGGAGCCTGGAGGAAGAGGCAGCCTCTTTGTCGCTGATGAGGAGGCTCGTGACAGCACGGAGCATATCAAGAAGAGAAGTATCAGGAATGAGAGGAGAATCATGAACATTGTTGTCTCTAGAGTTTGTAGCGAGAGGAACACGTTCTTTGTGTTGTAGTTTTGAGTTTGGATGGAGGGATTTATATTAGCTAAGTAAGCAATAGGGGTGTTGGTGGGTCAGGTTTTCAGATCAGGTCTGGTTGAACATAGACCTGATCAAAAATGGGTGGGGGCTCGTGCTTTTTAGACCATGTTCGGGTCTGATCGGGTCTTTGACCATCACCGATATTTTTTGAATGCTTGTTTGGGTCTTTATCAGATCATACGACACAATCCATGGACACAAGAGTTCCAGGCAGGATGAGCTGAACCCATTTACACCCGCACGTGTCGGGTGCTGACACTTTAGGCTGACCCGTTGTTGATGATCCACCCACAAGCGATTCCTAACCGAAGCTCGAGCGATTCAAGCCCTGACTGTAGAATATAGAGAGGGGGTAGAGAAGCATGTCAAGCTGCCGTTATACGTGCACAAAATCATATGTCAGGTGAAAGATATGGCACCGAATTGATTGGTGAAATAAACAAAGTGTAGCGAACCTGGACGCGTCAACTTCATGCGTCACGGGCTAATTGACAATTATGTTTCTTTCTCCTGCAGCATGGGTTTGTTTTTTGGTTCTTTTGGTTTGCGATAAAGTCTACGAAATTGGCTCTCATTTCCTCTTCTTTCCATAGCCAAGTCTGTGGATCTCTTTGTACCCATATGATCTTCTTCTTTTTTTTTGGAAATATCCCGTTTTTTTTTCAAACTAAATTTGATACTGTGATTCGTTGTGGGTCTATCTTGCTATCTAATCTTGGACTTTTGAGGAGTCAATGCTGGTCTTCTGCACATCAATGCGTGTCGACGACAGCTGGGCGTTGGGGAATTCGGCTTGTTAGTAGTACCTTCCCCATAGAAATTTCCATAGAAAAGTACCTCAAGATACATTTATATGAGTAAGTTTTCCAATAAGTCTTCAGACTGACAGAAAGTTCCAGCAAGGGTTGAACATATCTGATGTCATTAATAATCTTTGGTTGCAATAAAAACGAGATCATTTTTAAAACATTTTTGGGAAGTTTTAACGTTTAGATGTTTGTTCTGTGACTTCACATCTTGTTGATTCCCAACGATAATTTGTTTGGTCGCTTTACCTTCATAACAAATCCGTTACGTACTTGACTGTACTTTGTGTTTAAGAAAAACCTTTTGATAAATCATATAAGGAAAACTCCTCAGGGACCCAAAATAGGGGACCCCTGAGGGGACAGGTGAGGTGTCAGTCCCTAGGGGCGATCGCCCCTAGGGACTGACACCTCACATGTCCCCTCAGGGGTCCCCTATTTTGGGGTCCCTGTAGCAACACCCATCAGATAAATACATTTTGATAACCCGCTGGACACGTCAGCGCATTTGGTCTAGTGGTATGTTTCTCGCTTCGGGTGCGGGAGGTCTCGAGTTCCATTCTCGAGTTCCATTCTCGAACACACTCACTCTCTCTCTCTCCCTTTAATGTTCATTTTTTTTAGGGAAAAATGCTTCCAGCTCCCAAAAGCCAAGTGAACGTGTTTCCCACCCCCAAGACTTGGTCAATAGGTGTTTTACCCCTAAAAATAAAGATTTTGTTCTCTGAGCCCCCAAAACACAAAACCCAAGACATTAAAACATGTGAAGACCATAATACCCTTCTCTCTCTCTTTCTTTTTTTATTAAAATATGATGATGATTATTTTATTATTTCTCTCTCTCTCTCTCTCTATCATGATGTACCAAGAGGATCTTTAGATAGGTAACCCTAACAATTAAACCCGTAACCTTAACAATTAAACCCGTAACCTTAACAATTAAACCCGTAACCTTAACAATTAAACTCGTAACCTTAACAACAAATCCGTAACCTACACAATAAATCCACAACCTTAACAACAAACCCTTAACCTTAACAACCAACCCGTAACCTTAACAATCAACCCGTAACTTTAACAACCTCCCAATACAAACAACCAAAATAATAAAAAATAAAAATAATAAAATAATCATCACAATCATTTCAACTATCCTCTTGGTACATCATGATAAAGAGAGAGAGAAAACAAAAATAATAAAATAATCCCCATCATATTTTAATAAAAAAAGAAAGAGAGAGAGAACGGTATTATGGTCTTCACATGTTTTAATGTCTTGGGTTTTGTGTTTTGGGGGCTCAGAGAACAAAATTTTGTTGTTAAGGTTGTGAATCCTCTCTTTCTCTTTCTTTTTTTTATTAAAATATGATGGGGATTATTTTATTATTTTTGTTTTCTCTCTCTCTTTATCATGATGTACCAAGAGGATCTTTAGATAGGTAACCCTAACAATTAAACCCGTAACCTTAACAATTAAACCCGTAACCTTAACAATAAATCCGTAACCTACACAACAAATCCACAACCTTAACAACAAACCCTTAACCTTAACAACCAACCCGTAACCTTAACAATCAACCCGTAACTTTAACAACCTCCCAATACAAACAACCAAAATAATAAAAAACGAAAATAATAAAATAATCATCATCAATCATTTCAACTATCCTCTTGGTACATCATGATAAAGAGAGAGAGAAAACAAAAATAATAAAATAATCCCCATCATATTTTAATAAAAAAAGAAAGAGAGAGAGAGAGGATTCATAACCTTAACAACAAACCCTTAACCTTAACAACCAACCCGTAACCTTAACAATCAACCCGTAACTTTAACAACCTCCCAATACAAACAACCAAAATAATAAAAAATAAAAATAATAAAATAATCCTCATCAATCATTTCAACTATCCTCTTGGTACATCATGATAAAGAGAGAGAGAAAACAAAAATAATAAAATAATCCCCATCATATTTTAATAAAAAAAGAAAGAGAGAGAGAGAGGATTCATAACCTTAACAACAAACCCTTAACCTTAACAACCAACCCGTAACCTTAACAATCAACCCGTAACTTTAACAACCTCCCAATACAAACAACCAAAATAATAAAAAACGAAAATAATAAAATAATCCTCATCAATCATTTCAACTATCCTCTTGGTACATCATGATAAAGAGAGAGAGAAAACAAAAATAATAAAATAATCCCCATCATATTTTAATAAAAAAAGAAAGAGAGAGAGAGAGGATTCATAACCTTAACAACAAACCCTTAACCTTAACAACCAACCCGTAACCTTAACAATCAAATCCACAACCTTAACAACAAATCCACAACCTTAACAACAAACCCTTAACCTTAACAACCAACCCGTAACCTTAACAATCAACCCGTAACTTTAACAACCTCCCAATACAAACAACCAAAATAATAAAAAACGAACATAATAAAATAATCCTCATCAATCATTTCAACTATCCTCTTGGTACATCATGATAAAGAGAGAGAGAAAACAAAAATAATAAAATAATCCCCATCATATTTTAATAAAAAAAGAAAGAGAGAGAGAGAGGATTCATAACCTTAACAACAAACCCTTAACCTTAACAACCAACCCGTAACCTTAACAATCAACCCGTAACTTTAACAACCTCCCAATACAAACAACCAAAATAATAAAAAACGAAAATAATAAAATAATCATCATCAATCATTTCAACTATCCTCTTGGTACATCATGATAAAGAGAGAGAAAAAACAAAAATAATAAAATAATCCTCCATCATATTTTAATAAAAAAAGAAAGAGAGAGAGAGGATTCACAACCTAACAACAAACCCTTAAGCTAACAACGCAACCGCGTAACCTTTAACAAAATCAAATCCCAAACCGTTAAGCAACAAATCCCAATACAACAGCGCTTAACCAACAGAACCAACGCTAGCAGACCTAACCTTAACAATCAACATCCGTAAGCTTTAACCAACTCCCAAATCAAACAACGCAAAATAATAAAGAAATAAATATATAAAATAATCCTCATCAAATCGATTTCAACTATCCTGCTGTACATCAAATGATAAGAGAGAGAGAAAAACAATATAATAAAATAAGCCCCATCATATTTTAATACAAAAACAAAAGAGAGAGAGACGAGGATATTCATAAACCTAACAAGCAAAGCGCCTATTAACTTAAGCAACACAACGCCGTAAGCCTTAAACAATCACAGCCGTAACTTTAACAACCTCATCCCAATACAAACAACCAAAATAATAAAAACGAAAATAATAAAATAATCATCATCAATCATTTTCAACTATCCTCTGGTACATCATGATAAAGAGAGAGAACAAAAACAAAAATAATAAAATAATCCTCCATCATATTTTAATAAAAAAAGAAAGAGAGAGAGAAGGGTATTATGGTCTTCACATGTTTTAATGTCTTGGGTTTTGTGTTTTGGGGGCTCAGAGAACAGATTCTTTTATTTTTAGGGGTAAAACACCCATTGACCAAGTCCTGGGGGTGGGAAGGCATGTTGCACTGTTGGCTTTTGGGGGCTGGAAGCATTTTTCCCTTTTTTTTTATTAGATTGGAAATGATTGCTTTGAGATTTTTCCAAAATGCACATTTAACATCATCTTGGACATCCAAACAACATCCATGATCCGCTATTAGAGATGCTAAAATCACTTAATGACCTAAGCAGCCCAAGAGGGTCCAACCAGGTGGCTAAGCTGCTATGACTAGTACACCAATGTATTAGGTTTGAGTCTCTTGAAGAGTACCCACGGAAAATTAGTTTCTTATAATATCGCGAGGTAGCGTCCATCGGGGTCTCGATACCCATGATCCGAAGGATCGTGGGGGAATTCCCTTGTCAAACCAGAAAAGTGGGGAAAAACTTAATGATCTATAAAGTTCAAAAGTAAAAATGTTGAACATTTAAACCCATAATAAGGGAATGATAATCATTTCAAGGATAAATACGAAATAAAGCTGATTTGAGATTGATAAAACAAATTCCTGTAAACTTTTCCTCATAACTTACCTTTATCTTGCTATTTTGCTTGTTTGAGCTACATAAATCACTTGCAACTTAAATGATTTTAGCATTAGAATTTGCTTCCTCCTTCCCCTTCAGGGTTTCAAGAACTGACTGAGCGGTGCAGTAAGCAACAAGCACTGAACAGTGACCATCGGATTCACTCCACCGCCGTCGAAACCAACGCTCGTATCCGCCACGAACAGCCCGTTAACCTCCCACGTCGTCGACATCTCGCCATTCGGCTTCAACCGCCCCCTTCTCGCGGTGTCACCCCCATCCTACAACTCCCCATTCTGATGAGCTGAACATATCGCGTCGCGGCCAATCCCTTACCCTCTGCTCTTCACATCCTCGATCAGGCTCTCGATCCGCCTTGTCGTCCCCCTTCGCCCGAACTCTTCTCCGCTCGACAATGCAGAGTACCGACCTCCTCCGCTCCTGCAGCCACCAACACCTTCAGTATCACCTCGAGACCCCTCACCAAGTTCTCCTCGTCTTCGCGTTCCAACCGATGAGTGACAGTCCATGGATAATCCACGGTGCCTGTGCCCTTATCCCTCGCAAGAGCGAATATATGCGCAGTTCGCGGGAATTTCAGCATCCTCTCCCTGAATTCGTCCGCAGACGTCCACGGCGTGAGCTGGGAGAACATCCCCGGGTGCAATGCTGGGGTCTGAATGATAGCACCGTAGCCTGATGTGTCGAAGTTTGCCACCTCAGCCGACATTGACGT